GTGTGTGTGTGTGTATGTGTGGCAAATGCAAAACGGTGATTATCAACAGTAGCATAAGTTGCTCCTATTATTAAATTAAAGAGTGGGGAAAGAATACGTCCCAATATTCAATAGCGAAATAGCATGCATGTGCAAACTGAAACGAGGAACTATGCTTCTGTAGTCAAAGCGACGTCCGTACACCTTTGAACAACAACATCAACACCGAAAACGCCGCTCCTTTACTCATCTCTCTCTCTCTCTCTCTCTCTCTCTCTCTCTCTCTCTCTCTCTCTCTCTCTCTCTCTCTCTCATCCTCCAATGTTTAAAAATAATGCCATCTTTAAAGTAACTGTACTCATCCACTCACCCAGAAGGTAGACGCTGTGTATGAGAACGTGTCAACGGCATCCACAATAGCGTACTTCAACAACACTTTCAACTCTGTGTTCCGGACATCCAAGATCTTCTGAGTGAACAGAGGCTCCCAGCCGTACAGTTTGATCACCTGGAAAGCCAAAGCGAACATTTAAAAACAAACATTGGAAACACATATTTCAAACAAATATTTAAAACACACCATTTAAAAGAAATATTCAAAGCGAACATTTAAAAACAAACATTTGAAATACAAATTTCAAACAAATATTTAAAACACACCATTTAAAAGAAACGTTCAAAGCCAACATTTAAAACAAATATTTGAAATACATATTTCAAACAAACATTTAAAACAAACCATTTAAAATAAACTTTCAAAGCGAACATTTAAAACAAACGTTTAAGGTAAACCTTTGAACATCCAAAACATTTGTTGAAAATGAACATTTAAAACAAACATTTAAAATAGTAAACATTTAAAACAAACTTTTAAAACGAACATTCAAAACAAAGCCAAACTCACCTTAATGCCGTTGAGCACCTCCCCCATAAGCCTGAGTCTGGCGTCTTTGACCTTCATCATCTGGTACTGGTAGGTCTTCATCTTCTGGGTCACCAGTAGGTTCACACCCAACGACAGCCCGATGAACCCCAGACCTGTGGAGTGAGTTACCCAATAACCGTTGACGAAACAGGATGGCAACATAGCCAGCCCCAGGACAGTATACAACAA